AAGGCGATTTCAGAAAATCTTTGCTTTCTAAGTTTTAATAGTCGTAGACCTCGGGATCCGTAGGATAATCGTAGATGGAATTTTCTGAAGTCAACAACCATTTTCTTGGTTTCTTTGTTTTCGGTACACTTTTTAACTATTGTGGATGATTCCGCCATTTAACAATTTTCACCTTTCTTGACAAATTCGTGACCAGGCATTAGATGTGGATAATGTGGTCCATATCGGATCTTATTTGGTCCTAATTGATGCTTGTATAGGTCAAACGGTATTCATTCTAGTGTTATACTTTCCAAGATCGTCTGAAATCAACGTCCATTGGGCTGATTGTCGTTGTTTACGAAGATGTTATTTTTATTACATTTATTTCCTGAATCCAAGTTTGCAGTGTAGCTGGGTGTCTGTCCTCCGGTGGGAATGGGGCATGGTGCGGTGTTCCATGTTGATATTGTTTGTAGGAAATTTGCGTTTTCCACTGAGGATAATTTAGGTGAATTCGCAGTTGCTTTTTCAATGTCTCTCAATGCAGCGATTGTGCATGGAGTTGACCAATTGGTGTTCCACTTGATTTGTTATTCGGCGAATTAACTGTCCAATGCTCGATCTGTTAATTTTGCTTCCAGTCGGAATATATTTAATTTATCTGCTGTCATGTCGTCAAAGGCTGCTTTCTTGCTGTTTAGTCGAGGTGTAAACATGTAATCTGCTTTCTTAGATTACTGCTGTTTCGTTGTTGTTGGATTCGGCGCTGTCCGCTTTTTCAGGATCTGCTTTGAATCGTATGCTACTTTTTCAAGCAGTTTGTATTGGAAGTCCTACTTCCCGTGGTATTTTAATTTTATCCTTCTTTAGAATCGCGGAGTTCCTGTCTTTTCAAGGATGTCTCCTGACTTTTTTTGTTAGCAAGTAAAAATTTTCCATCCCGGTTGAGCCCCCAGTTAATATCGTTTACACGATATGAGTCGAAAGAAATATACTTTTGAGCTGCACCGAAATGTGTACTCTTTATTGATATTCTTAAGACTAACTTGTTACATAGATCTTACTGCTATTTATACTAACTAGTGTTACTTATTACTAGTTGATAGTTTCTTTAC